ATATCAGTACAGACTTAGAAATCATCAAAGGATTGTATAGAAATTATGAAGATGGAGATACAAGAAGTTCAATGAAACCATCACTTTAGGTGCTCAATGGAGAAGAAGAACAAGAAGAACAAAGAATCAATATGAAAGTGAATGAAATTATTCAGCCAGAAGAGAATGAAAACACTTTAAAATTCACAGAATGTGTCACCAGTATCTGAATTTTGTAAATTATTGAAAATTCTCTAGACAGAAACAAAGACATATAAGCTAAGAATGGAGATCACATAAAGAAAAAGTGTTAGGAAATTAAGAAATGAAGAAAAATTCCTTAGTTTCTTCCTCACTACTGGTATTCAAGGAAAATCTTTGCTTAAAATCACTGAAAGTGAATTATGGACTAGGTTATCATACCTTATAATATGTACAATTAATAAGAACAGTTGTGTACAGGTTGAAGAACAATAGTGCAGAACACACCAATATGCCAGCCTGTCAATGAAGAAGCACATCTTTATTTGAAAGACATTTAGCTTACTTAGAAAAGGATTTCACATGTTTGGGGAATTACTAACAATACACTTTAAACATACTTGGTTTCATAAAGGGGGACAGAAAATGTGATAATATAATTAATAAAGGACTGCACCTTTCAGACTGGCTCAAGTGGTGTAGGGCATGCATTAACAATCCAACACCCTGAGTAATAAATAAGTAAAAAAAATAGGTATATAAAGGATTTCTGCAAGATTGCACTACACCAGCTAAATGCACAGCGCATCATTTTGCTGAATTTATAATAACAATCAGAACTTCAAATTAATAGAAGGGCACTATTTAAAAAAAACAAAGGAACAGCACAAAAAGAATAACAAGCAGAGGAAGGGGTGAGATGGGGGCCAGAGTAACATAAAGGAACAAGTAGGAAAAGTGCTCAGCGGCACAGACCCTTTTTATTTACATCTAGCAGGGCATCTAGATACCTTGTGTGCATGCATGTGCAGATCTTTCCATGTATGTGTGAATTACTCTGAGATTATTTCACTGAATAGCTTCCTACGTCTTTTTTCTGTTCTTGTACATAACCTTTAATGTCAACAATTTATGTGTTAGGTCATTTAATCAAGTTCCAAAGGTCTTAAAAGTTGTGGTCTTCTGTATGCCAGAAATTCACATGATTACCAAATTGTAAAACTTTTACAAAATACCACATCTCTCAAATGTTCAAAAGCATTCCAGTAGCAGGAAGAATGAACAGTTGTCTTTCTGTTAGATTCTGACTCTCAGATATTCTCAATTCATACAAAATATTGCAAACAAAATGCTTATGAAGCAAACATTTTAAAATTTTCTATTCTTCCAGAAGTCATGCTCACTCTTACCCACCTTAAGTCTGAATCAGCAGAAAGGCACTCTTTACTGTCACCCTCAGAACAGAATTATCACAGGGAATAATTTACCAGCAGTGAAAGTTGATTTAGTCACCTGTCATCATCCGTTATCTACCAAGTTCTTCCCTTTCTTAGAAACCAAAGATCTTTTCTGCCTAGAAATTTGGCCATCTCCATTCCTTAATTTTGAGACTACCAACAAAGTCCAATAATTTCATAAAACAGTCAAGGGTGAAGAACACACTCAGTGCTGAAAAGGAGCCCCACAAGGCATAAGATTCCACTGATTATCACAGAAACCTGAGGATATAACTCTGGGAGCCCATCATGTCCTTACTCTCATCTACTAGTGAGAAAACTCTCGGCTTCTATACTTATATTTCTCAGAGAAAACATCTCAGTTCAGTCACTTTAAGTTTCTACTAAAAAAAATGTCAAATTCAAAAACTCAGTATCTATGATACTACCAAAATGTGGCTACCTATGACTCTGATCCTTACAGATATTCTTTATGTGGTCATAGAGAAGTGTAAATCCAGAATAATTATACATGTCAAAGTACAAACACTGAAGAGAATACATTACCATGAAAGCAGTTTCACCTTTAGAAAGGAAAAAACACACACCAGCACTTACCTCTGGCTCACCTGACTTCAAGAACTATACAGCTTCTAAACTGGCAACATGAAATCTCAGGGAACACCAGACTTTGTTGAGTTATACAGTTTTACACATTATTTAAACTGCAATTGATAGCTTAGAATGTGGTAATTCTTTGGGAAAAAGTCACTGGGTTCATAAAAAAATATTTTTATATGGTATTGATTAATGAAATCTGTAACACTTGCATCCAGTTGGCTGATAAGCACATTATCTATCATCATTTTCTGCACTTTTCTCCTTCCTTTTTATTTTTTCACTGGACAAGTCTTGGAATTAAGAGTTTAATGTTGGCAGAGCATATCCTATACTTAGTGAGCCATATTTCCAGCCTTTTTACTCTGGTCATTTTTGGAGAAGGGGGCTCATAAAATATTTGCACTTCACCAAAAACATAGAAATATGAAAATAAGTGAATCCTTGAGAAAAGAAATGAAAAGCATGGTGGTAGGCCAATTTCTGAGCAAGAGCAAGGCCATAGGGTCTATTGCAAGCACTGGATAAAACTAAACTAAATGACACAAACAAAAAAGAAATGAACAAAAGAAATTCAAGGTTTAATTAAACCTATAAAAATAGGATTACCTGTATTATTTTTATTGGTTTCCTCCTATGTTATCTTCGTGCTTCAAACCAACTAACCAATAACCTTCCAACAATGGCTACTTCAAGTTCCAAGGTAAAAGATGATTACAATACACAATACAGAAGGAAGAACTGTTTGGACCCTGGTGGTTCACATTTGTCAGACTAACTACTTCAGAGGCTGAAGTCAGGAGGATCATGGTTTGAGGGACCCATGTTTAACTGGGATGGAAGCATGTATAACCTCACTTACAGGGGCAAAGGATAACAACCAAAGTTGTCCCTATTAGTCAAGATATATTAAGAGTTTTAGTAATTCTAACCAGAACCTGTGATGAGGAACAAACCTGGTTTTTAAAATATATCACCCAACAAAATAACATCTCACTGATGACTGGAACCCCTTACCTATGCATACATTTGGTCCCTGCCCCCAGTTCTTTGCCTATGTAAATCTATATCTCATGTCTGTACAGTGCAGATGGTGAACATGAGTCCATTGCTTACACTACCTATCCCCAGCTGGGTAATAATTCTCCTTTCCCTGTTTCTTTATTTGAAAACAAATGGTAATTAGCTGAACCTATTTTGTGGCATTTAAGGAGCTTGAGCCCTGGGTCCAAAATTCTATTTTCAAAATGAGAATATTGATTGCAGAAAAATCTCAAGCAGTGGACACATTTCACAAAGCCTTTCTTGGGAATGTCTAAAGTAGAATCAAAGGATTGTAGGCTAGCATGTTCAAGAAATAGCAATGTGGAAATACTATGTACAAAGAAGTTAGTATCAGTACAGACTTAGAAATCATCAATGGATTATATAGAAATTATGAAGATGGAGATACAATAAGTTCAATGAAACCATCAATATAGATGCTCAACAGATGACAAGAACAAGAAGAACAAACAATCAACGTGAAAGTGATGGAATTTATGCAGCCAGAAGAGAAAGAAAACACTTTGAAGTTCACAGAATGTGTCACCAGTATCTGAATTTTGTAAATTGTTGAAAGTTCTCTAGAAAGAAACAAAAACATATAAGCTAAGAGTGTAGATCACATAAAGAAAAACAGTGTTAGGAAATTAAGAAATGAAAAAATTCTTTACATTCCACTTCACTACTGGTACTCAAGGAAAACCTTTGCTTAAAGTCATTGAAAGTTAACTATGGACTAGGGGATCATACCCATAATATGGACAATTATAAAGAATAGTCATATATGGATTGAAGAACGATAGTGGGGAACATACCAATATGTCTGCCCTGTCCATGAAGCAGCACATCTTTATTTGAAATGCATGTAGCTTACAGAGAAAAGGATTTCACATGTTTGGGAAATTACTAACAATACATTTTAAACATACATGTCATCATAAAGGAGGACAGAAAATGTGATAACATGATAAATAAAGTACCACACCAATCAGACTGGCTCAAGTGGTATAGTGCATGTCTTATCAATCACAAGACCCTGAGTAATGAATAAGTAAATAAATAGGTATATAAAGAATTTCAGTAAGATTGTATAGCAAATCAATTTGGTGAATTTATAATAACCATCTGAACTTCAAGTTAATAGAAGAACACTATTTACAAAGAAAAAGGAGTAGCAAAAAAAGAATGACAGGAAGAGAAAAGCATGAGATGGGGGCCAGAGTAACACAAAGGAACAAGTAGGAAAAATGCTCAACAGCACAGACCATCAGTATAGTGGAAGCAAGAGCATGCAAAGAAGCTCTTGAATGCTATGTGGACAAGTGTAATAAGTTAGAACATTCCACATATTGGCAAATCTCAGAATAAGTAAATATCCACACAACTTCAGATGAATTCATACACTATCAAAACTTCCTAAGAAATTTCAATTATTCATACACTACAGAGCACCAATCCCAAAACCCCCACACAAAAAGAATATTTTGCTAACAGTGTAGAACACTAGGGCAACATTACATAATGAAAATGAGCAAAATCTTCTGGGTCAACCTCACCACAAGGGATATGATTTATGGACTTGAGTCTTTGTGAAAGATCCATTACTCCAAACTGTTGTCATGCACTCACTTTAAGGTGAGGGAAATAATTAGTCAGCTTTTGACATGCTGTGACCTTACTCAGCTATCTTAATCTTTGTCAATGTACACCAAGATGTATTAATTCCAATATTTGTTTTCAGAAAACTTCTCATCTCTTCCACAAATTTAGGTTTGGTAAGTATATTCATATTGTTTATGCCTAACTGGTACCTATGAAGACTATTCAATGTGTACTCTTTACTTAAGGAACCATACTTCACTTTTGCTCGATTCCAATGCCTTCCTCAATTCATCTGAAACAAGACAAAAGTATCAAGAATGGACACTCTGGTAATATTACCAAACATGCGCCGAACAACTCCAAATGTTATGACTTCTGCTATGTTTCTTTCCCATCGCTTCTGAAAAGAAATATGTGGCATTACTAACACCAACCAAATTTCAAACACCAACTAATTGTCCTTCAATTCATATCTGACAACATCCAGCCTTAGAACAGTCCCTACAACTTCTGGGCAGTGTGAAACAGAAAAGTTATAGCTCATGTTTGCTTTGTCTGGTCACACCTTTCACCTTCCTAGTCATAGAGAAGTACCACTCTGAGACAAATCATCAGAATAAATGCAAGCATTGCCTCAATGGGGTTTAGGGAAACAAAAAAATTGACTCCTATTACCTCAGAAACTTCAAGGATTTCAGAATCTCTTCATGAGAAACTGACACAAGGACCAAAACTTTTAATTTATACTACACACCCACATCATCATCCAATTGCACCAACTTTTTGCCCCATCAGGAAATACATAAAGGTATCTTTGTCTGAGCCTGGGCCTAAGAAACTTGTCTTCATTGGCACAAATTACACTCTGTGTAACCATCCACCTCAACACTAAAGGAAAGCAGTGAAATGATAAATTCCGAAGTTGAAACACTCATAAATATCTACAATTAACCCACACTTCCAATCATTTCTGCACTAGAAAAGGAGCACACAACCAACATTCTTCCCATTATCCCCTTTCAAACTCAGATATTACTCCACCCACTGTCCAAATGCCCTGTTTTGCATGAAAAATGATTATGAAGTAATAATGGCAAACATCATCAAAATAGTTTATAAATAGTTGTAAGGTCAATTTGACAAATCTGAGCCTGAGTCATCAAGCAAATCACACTGAAGTGTCACCATAAGATCCATGAAGAATCCAGGTCCCTGTGGTTCATGCCTGTAATCCTAGCTGCTCAGGAGACAGAGATCAGGAGGGTCTTGGTTCAAAGACCATGCTAGCAAATACTTCTTTAGACCCTATCTCAAAAAAACCCCGTCAGAATAAAAGGCTAGTGGAGTCACTCAAGTGGTAAAAGCACATGCCTAGCAAACTTGAGGATCTGAGTTCAAATCCCAGGGCACTGAAAAAAAAACAAAAAAAAAAATCATGAAAATCCTAGAACTGGTAGCTTCTCCCTGAAAACCTAGGTAATGGGGACACTAAAATCATGATTACAGTCAAAATGAGCTAAGCAAAATTGTTTACCAGACCCCATTTACAAAATAACCAGAGCAAAAGAAACTGGAGATATGGTTCAAGGGGTTGAGCTCTGCAGTGCAAATGCAAAACTATGATTTCAAACCTCAGTCCCCCAAAATAACACAAGTAAGAAGGACACAAGACCATGACGAGAATACTGTTCTTTCCATTCTCCGTGTCTGTCCATTCCCAATTTATTTCTTCTCCTGTTTTCTCTTGTTTGAGAGCAAATTGCCTTTCTGCCTAGAGATGCCTACATACCTTTCTTTTGGGGCTTTCCCTATAGAATAATTTTCTAAAGTCATGGTCTAAGTTAATCAGCATTTCATTACAAAACAATATTCTTCAAACAATCTGTGGAAATTAACAGTTAAGTTAGAAAGGAAAAACATTCCCCTCCAATCAGAAGCCATGTGGATTCGCATTTCCAATGACTCTGGCAATGTGCAGAAGTCATGGAAATTTAGGGACTGATGAGCAGCACGGAGAAGCACTGCATTGAGGGGACAGTGCAGAGAGTTTAGCCCAGGCTTCCCTTGAACCTGATGGAAACAAAGGGAAGACAGGTCCCAGTGAAGATTTATGGGAACACAGCACAGGAGCGCCCTGTCCTGGCACAAACATCACAATAACTCAGCAGGCTCCCCAGCCTCCTCAGTCTGTGGAACAGGAATTTTCAGATTAGTTTCCAAGCAGGGCTGTGGACTGGGATGTAGTCATCTCACCAGGACACAGACACAGCTGAAGGCTCCTGATCCAACGCCACCCTTCAGTCACCCAGGGACGAACCCAATCACGTGCTCAGGAAGCCGACTCCAGGGTGGATATGGCCCAGACTAAACCACCGCTGCTTCTGGATGCAACAGTCCCTCCACCCAGCACTGCAGATGCCCAGCCACCCTCTCACCATTTCCCGCTTCTGACGCGTCCAGGTGACCTCACTATGTTCCTGCAGTGAGAAGATTTCACAAAGCTGCTGGAGCTCTGTAGCCTGAGAAATGGCAGCAGGCTTGTGGTAAATACAGCAATAATGAGAAGGTAACTGTGAATCACCTACCACTATCGCTCCTCATTGGACAGGTGGTGCAGGCAATTAAACAGCTGCTCTGATTGGCTAATGGATAAAGGACCCAACCCCAAGCCCTTGACTGATGGGAACACTTAGTGGAGAGGGGAGGTGCTAAACTGGTGACTTGAAAGGATGAACTCCAGCAGTCCTTGACAATCAGACTTCCTTTGTTGAAGATATGTTTTAGTTTGTGGGATAACTACTTTCAGGAAAACTTTCCCTGGCCTTCTGGACCTGGCATGTGACTATTTTCATACTCACTGTGACCTTCATGCGTACTCTTCCTGAAAATGCGAAAACAGGTATACTCAGAGAATTCTAGATTCAAATATTCCTTGGAGAAAATTCATCATGTCTGTTAAGGAGGGGAGACCCAGGTAGGCTAGGACACAGGAAGTCGATGTTGGACTGATGGTCAAACTCTTTAAACTAGAATAAAGCAGATGGGCACAGATTCCTCACACCTCATGTTTCAACCTAATCATTTGCACCCAAGAAAATAAAAACACATTGCCAAAAAAGCAATTTAGTTATTTCATGTATGAATCCCCATCTCCAAAAGAATCAGATAAAATAGATTGGAGATATGGTTCAAGTAGTTGAGCACCTGCTCTGTAAATGCTAAGCTATGAGTTCAAACTTCAGTCCCCCAAATTAAACTAAGAAACAAGCAAGACCAAGATGATCACAGGAGAAAACTGATTTTGCCAATCTCCATGTCTCGCTATACCCAATTTCTTTCTTCTCCTTTTTTCCCCCTCTATTTCATAGCAAACCACCTTTCTTTCTTAAAATCAGTCTAAGTTAGTCAGCATTTCATTATAGAAAAATATTCTAGAAACTACCTGAGGACAATTAACACTTAAGTCAGGAAGGGCAAAAAGCATCACCGGGGCCACTCAGAAGCCAAAACGGACACATGTGGATCGGCATTTCCAAAGAATCTGACAATGTGCACAATTTGTGGAAATTTAGGGACTTATTGGCAGCACTAGGAAGCACTGGATTTAGGAGATCGAGCATAGAGTTTAGACCATGCTTCCCTTGAACCTGAAGGTCTCAAAGGGAAGCCAGGTCACAGTAAGGATTTACAGGGACACTGCAAAGGAAGGCCTTGGCCCAGCACAAATTGCATAAGTACATTGGGTATCCCCAGCCATCTCAGTTGGCAGATAGGGATTTGCAGGCAGAAACTCCCAGCAGGGCTGTAAGCTGGGATGAAGTCACCTCAGAGACCTAGGACTGGGTTAAAGGCCCCTAGTCCACCACCACCACCACCCTAAGGTGGCAGAGGACCTAAGGACCCAACAGTGTGATCAGGGCACAACTTGTGGAACCCACAAGGCAGAGCCAGTCAAAACCACCACTGCATCTGGTTCCAACAGTCCCTCCACGCAGCATGGCAGATGCCCAGCCACTCTCTCAGCATTTCCCTCTTCTGATGCTTCCAGGTGACTTCCCTATGGTCCTGCAGTCAGATTTCACACAGCTACTGTAGCTGGGAAACCTGACAATTCTCCAGCAGACATGTGGCAAATAAGGCAATAATGTGGTAGGCAACTTAGACCTCCTACCACTGTTTCTAAAAAACTGAGATTACAAATGGGAGCCACCAGTGCCTTGCTCAAGTTCCCATTTAGTCATGCTTTGCCTGTATTCTATTTTGTTTTTACTATTTGTATATCAATATATTTTTTACTATTTTTACATGTAATGTTCTTTCACTTTGCAATGTATATTTCCAGTTTATGTTAATGCAGTTTGGTGTGTGTGTGTGTGTGTGTGTGTGTGTGTTGTGTTTGTATTACTTTGGTTTTACCCAAGACTTTATAATTGGTAAGAAATCTGTCCAGTGGTGAGCTACACCCCTATGTATTTTTATTTTGAGACAGAATTTCAGTAAATAACCCTGACTGGCATCTAATTGATAATCCTTGTGCAACATCCTCCACAGTGGCTGAGGTTTAAACTGTGTAACAACACAACTGAGTCTTTCATCCACATTTTTGTAATTCTGATATTTGAACTTTGACCTAGCACTTCCTCAGCAGGCACATCAAAGACCTCCTGTACACTTGCAAATAACATTACACAGGGTCAGGATCAATGCAGGTAACTTGGAATGCTCCAGTGTCTTCCTTCCATACCATAATCAGTTGCTCTCATTCATCATTTCCCTCTCAGCAACTGTAAATACCCAGCACTTACATTTATATATGATAACAAATGTGAATACATGATTTTGAAGACTGGAGGCATGGCTCAAGTGTTAGACCATGTGCCTAGCAAATTTGAATCCCTAACTTCAAACCGAGTATGCTCAAGGGAAAGCAAAAATTTAGTGTACCTTTACTTAATTCTTTTCAGTACTCTTTCTTTCTGGGATCTTTATTTATAACCACTTTTCCTACTCACAAAAATCTCATTGGAATTTTTGAAATACTAGTCTACATATGATATAGTCTGTAAATAATATTCAATTTTCATTCTCTTGTTCAGAATGAATAATCTCAATTTCTTTAGGAAGAGGTGTGGAACCATACAGAGCTGCCAAAAGAGGTTTTCAAAATTCAAGTCATCTTTTAAATGTGAGGAGATGTGTCTTAAGAAGCAGAGCTCCTGCTTTCCAAATTCAAAGTTTGAGTTGAAAACCATATTCCATCAAAATGATGTCCTACATCTTTTTGGTAGCATTAAAGAGATGCTGAAAATTATCAATGATATGATGATTTTGTAAAGGATAGCAAAAATGAAGTGCCTGTAATCACAGTTTCAGATACAATGCAAAAAGGAAGATAATTTTTGTAAACTTTGATGATCATGACGAGGATAAAATTGTAATTCAGAAATATCATATATGTGCTGGTTTTTGGTGGCTGATGGATGTCAATTCATCTACTCAGGAGACAAATATTGGTAGGATCATGGTTTGAGAACAACCTGGGCAAAAAAAGTTAATGTACATCATCTCAGACAATAACTCTGAATGGTGTTATAACTCTGTGACCCTTCAGTTATATAAAACATATGACTTTAAGTATCCTTTTCATTTTTATTTGCTGTGTTGGTATCAAAATACCTTACATGTGAATATGATACTCAGAGAACAAATGAAATCTATATCAGTGTTAGATATTTTATTTCTGTGTGCACAGTGATTTCTCTCTTATGTTAATCAAGTCAGAAGAGGAAGGAGTAGTATGAGTTAAACAATTTGAAAATATTTTCCTTCTATTCCTTCTGGGTAAAAGGAAAAATACAATTCATTCCAATGTCACCAAATCTCTCCCCAACTCATTTATGATATCAGAAATTATTTTTAAGAAATTAACAATTTCAAATGATAGCACAAGTTGCCCGTTCTCCTCATTTCCACAGGTCTGTCTTCTGTATGCCTTTGAAAATGTTTACACACACAATGTAAGAGAATGAACAAAGCACTACCAAAATGATATATGCAAAAACATTTTAATCCCACACTAAGAATTTATTGGAGAACCCATGTAAAAAGGGAGCAACTCAGTTACAGACCAAAAATGAGAATAATCTCACCTCGTATCTCTTTGGATAGCTAAGTGAGTGGAATCATGGCACTGTGGTGAGACTGTCTTGTCTTAGGAGGAAGTCTCTAATGAGGACTAATGAACATTTTAGGAAATGTAATGGCTGAGAACCATGGCTTCTCTATTGATAATGAATCACATCCTAGACAAGAGAGCTATACTAACAAATTCCTGTGTTACAACAGGTTCTAGCTGATCTGAAACCCCAGGACCCAACGAAAACAACAGCCTCAGCCAAATCATCTAAGCTAAAATACCCTCCAAAATAGCATCTATGATACTTTGTTGACACAAGGCAAATTTTATGAGGATTTATTTTTTTTGACATACAAAGATTTGAAATTGTTGCCTCAGGAACTAATTGTCCAGGCTGCCTTCAAACTGCAATCATCCTGGTCTCTGCCTCAAGAGTACCTACTGTTAACTGGAACAAAGCATGGTGGACTGACATGCATGCAGAGATAGAAAAGGAGACAGAGATGCTAGATTGAAAGCAGCATGGGAACAGCTCAATCCCTCAGCACATGCTTTATTGGGAGAAGAATTCTTTGGATGCGTTCCCCAGCAACAGAGTTGGAGCCCACAGCTGCTTGAAGAATAGGGATACAGGAAGTTAGTGGGAGAAGTCCAAGAAAGAAGGGAGTCCAAGGGTGAATTCCCAGGAAGGCAATGGACAGGAATATCCTCCATCAGCCCTCTGACACTCCTGAGATAATGGGGTCTTTCTATGAGGCTGGGTGGGAAATACCTAGGAAATGGCTAAAGGTGAATGTTTGTTACTCTTTAGGGGTGTGTGCAGAGTTTTCAGTAAGCCAACTGTGATGAAGAAGGGTCCAGTCCTCATGTGGCTGCCCAGTACTCACCCTAACAATTATAACTACAGGCTTGAGCCACCATCATCTAGCTCACACTATGAGAGTTAATCACACATAGACCAGTTTTCAAGGAATGACCATCCCCACCTGAACAGACAATAAAATCTTGAGTTCTCAGAACCCCCAATGAAATATTCCTACTTGAGTCTTCCACCCTCCTGCCAGAGGATGCACCTTTGATTGTCTTATGCTTTCCATAAAGTAAACAGAACTGCTGAACTTCATATCAGACCAGTAGGACTATCCTTTGTTTAGTTCCTCATTGCTTACCAAATAAACCTGTTGGTTATCTTATGTTTCTTTCTTTGTAAATTGTTTTACCAAGAAGTGACATAAAAAATCCCTATCACTCTCCTAATATGTCCTTTATCTTGTATAGAAGTTTGACCACATGTGCTGTTTGCTGAGGTCATTCCTCCATATGCCTCTTGGCAGTTTTGGATAGCATTTTAATTAAGCATTTTTTAAAGAAAATAATATAGGTACCTCTTTGTCCTACTTCTGCTGTTTCCCTATCAAAGTAAGGGGTGGTTTTAGTGAAAAACTGATTGTATTTACTCTGAATTGTCCTGGTTCTCAGGGATGTTTGCAATTCTCTAATTCCACCAACACAGTGTAAGCTATGGAGCAAAATCTACTTTGGAAAGTATATTAGATAGCATAAATGACTTAAGACAATTCACTGGAAAATGAAAGCAATCCCCAGACCTGGGCACTAATAACTCAAACCTTAATCCTAGCTGCGGAGGAGGAGCAATCAGGAGGATTATGTTTTGAAATAATCAGGGGGATTGTTTGGCAAACGCTTTCAAGGAGCCTATCTTAAAAATACGTAACACACACACACACACAAAGGCTACTGGGGTTGGTCCCAGGGTACACTATGTGTGTGGGTAGCAAAAAAGTCTGAGTTCAAATTCCAGGGACAGCAAAAGAAAAAAGAACAAAGAAGCAAACAAACTGATCCTTTAGCCTCACAATAAGGCCCAAATTTATTGTTCCTTTAGGACAGAAAACAGGCCAAAATTATAAATCCAACAGAAAGATTATGGATTAAGAATTGGAGGAGTCTACACAGCAATAAAAAGAATGAAAAGAAAAGAAGGGCAAGAGAAAGAAGAGAATAAAAAGTGACATGTAGTCTAATATTCATAAGAAATCTTGAAACTACACTATTAAATGTGGTATATTATAATAAAGAGATTAACAAATAGATCTCAGTGGAAAACAAATGAGTCCTCACTAGATTTCAATGTAAAGAGAAAATTGATTCTTGACAGAACAAGCATTATACAATGGTGGCCAAATCAATAAACACTTTAAAATATGATACAAGGACAAACCCAGGTTCTACTTGAAAACATGCTTTCTATCCTTGTCTATGTCTTGGACAATATGTAAATTGCAATGGGAAACAAGACAGATTAAATCTAAACATATTCACAAATATAATTTCACATGTTTTTCATCCCAGCATTTTGAAAACAGGTTGGAACATCCTAAGAGCAAAGTCAGTCTATTATACATATCCAGTTAAATAAGCCCCTGTCTCACTATAAAACATAAAGCATGTTGAAAGTCACAATCAAAAAGACACACAATGTGCTGTTAATATGGCTTAAGTGGTAGAAAACCTGGGCAGCAAGCATGTGGTGCTGAGTCCAAATTCCAGTCCAACATAAAAGAAATTATGATCCACTCCTTCCAGCACTTAAGCAAGTCTATTGATGCAGGAGTACATGTGGCTGTCTTTATTGCCTGGCACCAGAATAAGCAGAATAAAGACTGTTCTAGGGAAAAAAATGTAGGTGTTCTTACTCCACAGATCTCTAAGAATGTACAAGCCAACTGCTAGTGCCTCAGGCATATAATCATAATACTTGAGAGTGTAAGCCAGGTGATCATGATTGGAGGTCACTCTGGGCAAAAACTTAACAGGCTCTTGCTCCAAAATAGCTAGGAGAAAACAGACTGGATGTGATGTGTGGCTTGGAGGTACAGTCCTTTCCCTGGAAGCAAAAGACATGAGTGAAATCTTCTCTTCAGATCATTTTTTATCATGTGTCTGGAGGAAAGCAGGTGACACAGCATACTGGGATTAACAAAAGTTACATAAACTGACAGTGTCATGAGTGCGAGAATGGAGTCCTTCATGTTGCTAAAAGGAAACAGGATAGGTGAAGTGTTTCCCTCATTACTTCAATACATAGAGGTTCACTCTACTGTGATATCTTACACATATATTTTTTGGTAATGGGAATGACAGAATATATTCCCACATATGTTGCTTCTGTAAGGTTTGTCACAAATTGTATTATTACATTTGTTTGATGGTGAATACAATAAATAAAGACAGGTTCATTATGCTTACACCTATAGATTTTCTCTCCAGTGTGTGGACTTTCATGTTTGAGGTCATGGAAATGAGTGAAGACTTTCCATGTTGCTTTCCTAATCCAGTTATTCTCCATTTTTAATTTGGTATGTTTTGGAGGAGCACTGGAATGTGTGAAGGCTTAGTCAGATTACACACATGTATAGCATTGGGCTACAATGTAAATTGTATCATATCAAAGATTACTGGAAAAGGTGAAGGCATTCCTCCATTACTGACATTGATAGTGTTTTCTGAGTTCATTCATGATTTTCAAGACAGGATATGTGAATGTTTTATCACATTTGGTATGATACTAGTGTTTATTTACACCATGAGTTCTTTCAGGTGCATGAAAGATACGTGAACTAAGGAAGGGTTTCCACATTGCTTGCATCCACTGTGTTTGTCCTGTTTGCATTCCTTGATGAGTATGAGGAATACTGGATTGAGTGTAGGTTGTCTTTAATTCCTTACATTCATAGAGTTGCTCTGCAGAGTGAGTTCACAATTGTTATTGTCACTGGAAATTGCTCATTTCCATGGTTTGTCTCTCTACTCTAATTACCTTCATGTCTTTTAAGGGTAGTGTGGCATGTGAACACTTTCCCCACATTGGTTACATATATAAGGTTTGTCTTCACTGTGAATTCTTTCAAGTCATCAAAGGTGACTGTAATAAGTGAACACTTTCTCACATTGCATATATCCATAAGGTTTCACTTGTGTGTGAGCTCTGCTGTGCACATGAAAGTGGGTGCGTTGATTGAAGTCTTTCCCACATTGCTTACTTTCATAGGGTTTCTCTCCACTGTGAGTTCTTTCAGGAATTCAAAGATAGTTTCAGGAATTCGAAGGAGTTCACTGTCTCCAGTGAAAATTTTCTCACATTGCTTACACCCATAGGGTTTCTCTCCAGTGTGAATTCTTTCAAGAATACGAAGGTTACTGGAATCAGCATAGGCTTTCCTACATTGCTTACATCCACAAGGATTGTCTCCCTTGTGTGTTTTTCTATGTCTCTGAAGGTGACTGTCTTGATCAAAAGTTTTCCAACACTGCTTACATCCATAGTGTTTTTCTCCACTGTGAGTTTTTTCATGAATTTGAAGGTAACTGGCTTGAGTGAAAACTTTCCTACCTTTTGTACATCCATAGGGTTTATCTCCATTGTGACTAATTTTATGAATATGAAGGTTACTGGAATCACGGTAGGGTTTCTCTCCATTGTGAAATTTGCTATGTCTCTGAAGGTTACTGGCTCAAATAAAGGCTTTCCCACACTGCTAACATGCATAGGGTTTCTCTCCACTGTGAGTTCTTTCATGAATTTGAAGATAACTGGTTGGAGTGAAAACTTTGCTACATTGCTTACATCCATAGGGTTTTACTCCAGTGTGAGTTCTTTTGTGATAGTAAAGGTAACACTGACTAGTGAAGAATTTCCCACATTGCTGACATCCATAGGGTTTCTCTCCATTGTGAGTTCTTTCATGCTTTTGAAGGTAACTGGCTTGTGTAAAAACGTTCCCACATTGCTTACATCTGTAGGGTTTATCTCCAGTGTGAATTCTTTCATGGTATCAAAAGTAACATGCATGAATGAAGAATTTCCCATATTTCTTACATCCATAGGGTTTCTCTCTATTATGAGTTGTTTCATGAATTTGAAGGTAAATGGCTGGAGTGAAAACTTTCCCACATTGCTTACATCCATAGGGTTTATCTCCACTGTGAATTCTTTCATGAATATGAAGGTTACTGGAATGAGTGTCACCTTTCCCCCATTGTTTACATCCATAGGGTTTCTCACTAATGTGAGATGTTTCATGAATGTGAAAGTTACCAGATTGAGTGCAGGTTTTTCCACATTGTTTCCATTCATGAGATTTCACTATATTGTGTATCCTTTCATGGATTAGAAAAGACTTGAAATCAGTGAAGATTTTCCCATAAGCATTATATATATATTGCTTTTCCATGGTGCTAAGCAGAGTTTCCTTGCTTACAATATTCTCTGCAGTCTGATGAACGGATTCTCCACATTGAATGAATATGTTGTTTATGCTCATGCAGTCTCTCTAGCACTTCAGACAAAGTTTGTCTGTATTCCTCTGCAATACAGACAAAGTTACCATTGTTATCCTATTAATGATTTATTAAGAGAATTTATGGTGTTTGTTTCTGCAGGAACACAAATGTTCTGCAGCAAGGCCTAAGGAGAGCTATTACTGATATAGTGATGTTAATATTTATTTTCATAATACTATTTCCATGTTAGGTCTTTAACAACACTGAAATAGTTTTACTATATTCAAATACACTTAAAGTACTTATTGAGATGCCTTGGATCAAAAGCATGTAGGGTGGTGAAATACAAGAAAGAACACAAGGACATAGATTGAAAAATGGGCCAGTCTATACCAGTATACATTATAGTCCTACTGTGGCAGAATTGGATGTAATATAGTTAAATTAGTTTGTGTACAGAGTGGGGTTATTTTTGTATATTGAGCAATAGGACAGTGTCTCTTTGTGACTTCTTAGGACAAAATATGTTAAGAATTATGGCATATATCTGATTTTGAGTTTTTTGATTCTGGATGCTCAACTTATTTTTCTCATCTTAGAGAAAGTTTTCACTGATTTCAGAAATTTATAAGTAAAAGTTGCAGTCTCATTTCCATGGTTATCAAACATCTTGTCAATGCCACACCCGCTGTTCACTGTTTTCATTATGAGTACAAATTACCTCATATTTCTTCTGGGATTACTGAAGTCCTCTTCAATATTTTCATTTTCTTCTTTTGTTTATAACGTATAGGCAGAGAAAAATCATTAGTATTTAATCAGTGTGAAAGAACAATTTGAGACCTCAGCTATTTCCATGGTATGGTTCATGCATGTCTATGAACCATAACTGTCCCTTTTTAAAAACCCCACAAGGCAAAAACACCAATGATCCACAACACTAGTGCACATTTTTTATAAGGTAATGATGCCATATTCATCTATGCAGGACAGGTCGCTATACGTTTCTAGCATCACTCCTCTGTAGAGCTTCTTTTGGGAAGGATTCATACAGCCCCATTCTTCTGGGGTGAAGTTCACAGCAACGACCTCAAAGGTCAGTGGCTCCTAATATATTCCACACACATTTGTGAGAAGAATTGTGAGTGTCACAGTAGTGGAAACAGACAATATCTGTGTAATAAGTACGCACTGTGATGTGGTCTCCACATATTCAATGCATTTTATTTGTATCACACTCTCATTTTCTATCTATACTCAAAGGCACTTCATGGTAATTCTGACATCTCACTGGAACTGTATCTTAAACTCAAAGAAGAACATGGTCAGAAAAATTACATTTTATACACTGATATTGTATCAGTCTACTGACATGTTCCTTCAACTTAGTTCCCATTAGAGTAATATCAGGTAAAAATAGACTAAAGGAATAATGTTTTTAATACATGAGTAAAAGTTTCATGTCTACTGGCATTGCAGAACTGCTAAGGAAATGAATCTCACCAAACCAAATATAACATATAAGGGGATAATGTCCTAAAGCAATTTATTCTAATAATATCCTATTGTATACATGCTATTTATGATTATTTGCACATTTCTGCAATGTTCACCAGAGGGAGTTTATACTAAGGGAACAGACAATGCACTAACGGTAATGGATGTAAGAAGGAAAAAGAATCTTCTCAGTTTGTGCAAAATAGTGCAAAGAAAATGCTTATGAAGCAAAGATTTTAAAGTTTTTTGTTCTTCCTGCAGTCATGCTCACTCTTACCCTCCCTGAGCCTGAAGCAGCAGAAAAGCTCTCTTTACTGTCACTTTCAGAACAGAATTATCTGAAGGGAATAATCTTCCAGCCTTGAAAGTTGATTTAGACACCTGTAATCAGCTGTTATCTTCCAAATTCTTCCCCTTTCTTGGACACAAAAAATCTTTTGCCTAGCAATTGTGCCATCTGCATTCCTTCATTTTGGGACAACCCACATAGTGCAATAATTTCATAAAACCTTCAAGGGTGAAGAACATACTCAGTGCTGAAAACGAGCCCTGGAAGGCATAAAATTCCATTAATCAGCACAGAAACCTGAGGATATAACACATCATGTTCTTTTACTCTCATGTACTAGTGAGAGAACTCTAGGCTTCTATATGGATATTTCTGAGAGACAACATCTCAATTCAGTCATTTTAAGTTTCCACTAAAAAAAAAGTCAAATGCAGAAACTCAGTCCCTATTTTGAGACTACCAAAATGTGACTATCTTTGACTCTGTCCTCACAGATATTCTTCATGTGTTCATGGAGACATGTAAATCCAGAATAACTATACATGTCAAAATCAAAACACTGAAAACACTACCATGATAGAAACAGTTTCACCTTTAGAAAGGAAAGAACACCAAGCAGCATTTACCTGGGGCTCACCTGACTTCAAGTACTATGCAGCCTCAGACTAGTAACACACCATGGCACGGAACACCAGATTTTGTTGAGTTATATACTTTTATGATATTTAACTCATTTGATAGCTTAGAATGTGGTGAGTTTTGGGGAAAAATTCACTGGATTCATTAAAAATATTTTTATTTGTTGTTGATTAATTAAATCAGTAACAATTCCAGTGGCCTGATGAGCATGTTGACTTATGTATGATCATTTTCTGCATTTTTCTCCTTCCTTTTTATTTTTTCATTGGACAAGTCTTTGATTTCAGGGTTTTATGTTTGTAAAGCAGATTCTCTACTAATTGAGTCCAATTCAGTCTTCTTGTTCTGGTTATTTTTGGAGATTGGGGCTCATGAAATATTTGCACTTCACCAAAAACATTGAAATATGAAAATAAGTGAATCCTTGAGAAAAGAAATGAATAGCATGGTGGTAGGTCAATTTCTGAGCACGAGCAAGATGACAGGTTCCATCCCAAGCACTGGAAAAAACTAAACTAAACAAAATGATACAAACAAAAAAGAATGAACAAAAGAAATTCAAGTTTTAATTAAACCTACAAAAATAGGATTACCTGTACTATTTTTATTGGTTTCCTCCTAGTATTATCTTCCTACTTCAAACCAACTAATCAATAATTTTCCAACAATGGCTACTTCAATTTTCAAGGTAAAAGATGATTACAATACACAATACAGAAGGAAGAACTTTTTAGACCCTGGTGGCTCACACTTGTCATACTAACTACTTCAGAGCTGAAGTCAGGAGGATCATGGTTTGAGGGACACTTGTTTATCTAGGATGGTACCATGTATCACTTCACTAGCATATATTTAGATACCAATTAAAGAGGCAAAGGATAACAACCAAAGTTGTTCCTATTGGTCAAGATATTTTAAGAATTTTAGTATTTATGTGCCAGAACCTGTGATGAAGAACAAACACAGTTTTTTAAATATATCACCCAACAAAATAACCTATCAAGTGAATAAATCTTTTCTTTTAGCTGAAGATCCTAAAGGTTTCTGACTTTCCCTTGGTCCATGACAGGCTTCCTCAATTGTCCCAAATTATATTGTGACTAGACAAGTTCTATGAGTGAAAATGCAAACAACTGAAAACTTACCCAAGCAAAGTAATTTTGGTAACACTAGTAGTTAAGACTACAACCCCACCATCATTCATGTTCCCATTATTCTTAGATATCTCAAAAGGGAAGCACACAATTTTGATTCTTCGATGTTCTGCCTCAAATTCATCATCTTACTTGATCATCTGAAAAAGAATCCTAACTATATAAAGTATCCTAATGAAATTCTCTACTCTTTCCAGGCAGTCTCTGACTCATCCTCAGGCTGAGCCACTATATCAACCCCTTCTTTATCATCATATGAAACACAATCTCAAGGATAAGGATCTGTGGTCCATGACCTAATTTGAGGCCCTCTATTACCCATTGTCTCTCAGCTTCTTTTCACTACTTTTTGGTCCTCACAAACTAATCTGAGGCCCTCTTTTAACCATTATTTCAGCTTCTTTTTACTACTTTTTGATCCTCTTTGCTATACTTGAAAAAACAGCCATCCTTTGCCTTTCCTCGGTACATGTGCATACTCTGTTGTTGGGGTTATCCTTCCACTAATACCCTATGTTCATATTTTGCCTCAATGTTCATTTCATTTTTGAAAAATGCTGTGTAGACACGGGCCAAAGAGAACATGAATTATATTCATAAACCTTTTGTAAGTTTCCAATCTCAACACTCCCGTTTGAAGCCCAAGAGCAAGTGAACCACCACTGCAGTAAGTTGTGCAATGAGCTCTCTGTAAATTTAGGGATTTAGTAAAACCCTAAGTAGCACATGTCTGGGATCTGAGTGTGCATTCAAAACCCTGCTTCCTTATTTTTACATAATTCAGGACCATCAATTCTACCATGAAAAGTTTGAATGGAGTGGGGACACCAAGGATCACAGCTTCTCAGCTGGGAACATACTACCTCCCATCATCACCTCATTTGGGGAAAGAATCAAGGGCTCCAGGATAGATGAGGTAACTCACAGGTAGAGCACATCATGACAGGGTCCTGCTCATCTTTGCAGATACACATCCTGTATTTAGTGTGAAGGGCCACCAAGGCACTCCAGACAACTAAGTCCCTAGACTCCAGCTCTGTACTGCAGAGACCAAGGTCTCTACAACTAATTCAAGCAGGTCCAACATCCTCATCCTCCTGAGAGGACACTGGTCACAAACACTACTTGGTCTTCTATGGTGATTTGGGTTCTGCCCTACAACCTAGCTGAGCACAAACATAATGGGACTGAGATGGATCACCACAGTGTCCATATCAAAAGAAATCTCAGTGATTCAGAAAATGAAAGGAACCAGAAAGTCATTTTCCAAGGATTAGACAGTAGTTGTTCCTCCCACCAGATTCAGATTGGTCAGCCTATACAGTAATTCCTGAAGCAATTTTCATTGGCTATTGAACCTGGGCCCTGTCATCTTTGATATCTGTGACAGGAGAACTGATACCCCACCTGGCAGAGTGGCAGGGTCAGTACGTGATTCCAGGCACCAACCATAGGAGAACAGACCTATGTTCCCTAGCATGGGATGGATTGTATTTAAGCAGAACATGCACCTTGGTTTTCCAAAAGAACTCTATTGTTTTGATGAAGAAATGGGGCCAGGAATGTGTTAAGAATACTCCACACTCATTATCTAAGGATATAGCCACTGATTTCACAGAAAGATCACTTTGTACAACAGGGCAATTGAGACTTCAATAGAATAGGACAAAAGGCCTGGTGTGATCACAGCATTTGCTATCAGTCACTTGTCTATATGGAGAAAGATTTCTCACACCTGTTCACTCAGTCAACCCATTATCAGCAAGAAAGTAAGAACAACCAGGATGCCAGTGGCTAACACCTATTATCCTACCTACTCAGGAGGAAGAGATCAGGAAAATCATGTTTTGAAGCCAGACCAGGCAAATGGTTTGTGAGACCATGTCTTAACAAAATACTTCACAAAAAACGGATGGCAGAGTGACTCAAGGAGTACACCCTGACTTCAAGCCCCAGTTCTGCAAAATAAATAAAGAAAGAAATGGAAGAACATACCAATAAGCAAGCCCAAGTATTATGTACAAGAGAAGTTGTAGCTATAACACCAAAATGGCAGAGACTGGAAGGCATTTTCTGTAGCAAGCATGTTGAAGAAACAGTGAAGTGGAAATAGTATTTACAAAGTTTATATCAGAATTGAATTAGAAATCATCAAAGATTATATAGAAATTATGAAGATAGAGATACAAGAAGTTCAATGAAACCATCACTATAGGTGCTCAAAAGAGAACAAGAACAAGAACAAAGAATCAACATGAAAGTGAATGAAATTATGCAGCCAGAAGAGAAACAAAACATTTAAAAATTCAAGAATGTGTTACCAGTATCTGAATTTTGCAAATTGTTGAAACTTCTCTAGACAGAAACAAAAACATACAAGTTAAGAATGTAGATCACATAAAGAAAAACAGTGTTAGGAAATTAAGAAATGAACAAAAATTCTTTAGTTTTTCCTCACAACTGGTATTCAAGGACAACCTTTGCTTAAAGTCATTAAAAGTGAAATATGGACTAGTTGATCTTACCTTATAATATCAACAATCAGTAAAAACAGTTGTATATTAGTTGAGGAATAATAGTTGGGAACGTACCAGTATTCCAGCCCTGTCCATGAAGAAGCACATCTTTATTTGAAATGCATTTAGCTTACTTAGAAAAGGAGTTTACACATTCAGAAAGTTACTACAATACATTTTAAACATACATGGTTTCATAAAGGGGGACTGAAGTGTGATAATATAATTAAAAAAGAACTGCAGCTGTCAGATTGGCTCAAGTGGTGTAGTGCATGGTTAGCAATCACAAGACCCTGAGTAATAAATAAGTAAATAAATAGGTATATAAAGGATTTCAGCACGATTGCACTAAACCAGCTAAATGTACAATACATCATTTTGCTGAATTCATAATAACAATAAGAACTTCACATTAATAGAAGAACACTATTTACAAAAAACAAAGGAATAGCACAAAAAGAATGACATGCAGAGGAAGGGGTGAGATAGTGACCAGAGTAACATGAAGTAACAAGTAGGAAAAATGCTCAAAACCACAGGTCATCAGTATAGTACAAACAACAGCATTCAAAGAAGCTCTTTAATGCTAAGTGGACAAGGGTGGACATTCCAAATATTGGCAAATCTTAGAATAAGCAAACATCCATAAAACTTCAGATAAATTCATACGCTATCAAAATGTCCTAAGAAATTTCAATAATCCATACTCTACAGAGCACCAATCCCACAACCCCTACCCAAAAAGAATTTTCTGCTAACAGTGTAGAACACTAGGGCAACTTTCCATAATTAAAGTGAGCAAAATCTTCTGGGTCAACCTTACCACAAGAGATACGATTTATGGACTTGAGTCTTTGTGAAAGACCTATTACTCCAAGTGGTTGTTATGCACTCACTTTAAGGTGAAGGAAATACTCAGTGTCAGCTTTTGACATACTGTGACTTTAGTGAGTTACCTTAATCTTTGTCAATGTACATTCAGATGTATTAATTCCAATATTGATTTTCAGAAACCTTCTGATCTCTTCCACAATTTTAGGTTTCCCAAATATATCCATATTGTTTACGCCTAATTGGTACCTATGTACCTATGAAGACTATTCAATGTGTACTCTTTACTTAAGGAACCATACTTCACTTTTGCTCAACCCCAATGCCTTCCTGAATTCATTTCACACAAGACAAAAGTATCAAAAATGGACACTCTGATAACATTACCAAACATTCCCCCAAAGACCCCAAATGTTAGGACTTGTGCTGTGTTTCTTTGCCATCACTTCTGATGACAAATATATGGTGTTACCAACACCAACCAACTTTCAAACACCAACTAATTGTCCTTCAATTCAAATCTGACATCATGCAGACTTAGCACAGTCCCTCCAACTTCTGGGCACTGTGAAACAGTTAATAAGACATAGCACATGTTTTTTTGTCTGGTCACACCACTCACCTTTCTAGTCATAGAGAGGTACCACTCTGAGACAACTAATTAGAATAAATGCAAGCATTGCCTCAATGGGGCTTAGGAAAACAAATAAATAAATACACAACCACATCATCTTCCCAATGCACAAACTTTTTACCATATCAGGAAATATATAAAGGTGTCTTTCGCTGAGGCTGGGCCTAACAGACTTGTCTTCATTGGCACAAATTACACTCTATCTAACCATCTACTTCAACTCAAAAGGAAAGTGGTGAAATGATATATTCTGTAGTTGTAAGACTCATAAATATCTACAATTAACTCACACTTCCAATCATTTATGCTCTAGAAAAGGAGCACACAACCAACATTCTTCCAATTATCCCCTTTGCAAACTCAGATATTCCTCCACCCATTGTCAAAATACCCTTTTTTTTGCATAAAAATGATTATGAAGTAATCATAGCAAATATCCTCAAAATGGTTTGTAAATAATTGTAAGATCAATTTGACAAATCTGAGCCTGAGTCATCAAACAAATCACACTGTAGTGTCACCATAAGATCATGAAAATCAGGTCCCTGTGATTCATGCCTGTTACACTAGCTGCTCGGGAGACAGAGATCAGGAGGGTCTTACTTCAAAGACCATTCTAGCAAAAGTTCTTGAGACCCTACCTCAAAAAAACCCATCAGAAGAAAAGGCTAGTGGAGTCACTCAAGTGGTTAGAGCACATGCCTAGCAAACATAGGGATCTGAGCTCAAATCCCAGGGCAGTGGAAAAAGCAAAAAAAAAAAAAAATCATGAAGATCCTAGCACTGGTAGCTCCTCCTTATAAATCTAGGTAATAGGGAGAATGACATCATGATTACTGTCAAAATCAGGTAAGCAAAATTGTTTACCAGACACCATTTGCAAAATAATGAGAGTAAAAGGGACTGGAGATATGGTTCAAGCAGTTGAGCTTTGCAGTGTAACTGCAAAACTACAATTTCAAACCTCAGTCCCCCAAAATAACACAAGTAACAAGGACATAAGACCACATGTGACCACAGGGGAATACTGTTCTTTCCAATCTCCATGTCTGTCCACTCCCAACTTATTTTGTCTCCTCTTTTCTCCTCTCTTTGAGAGCCAATTGCCTTTCTGCCTAGTTGCCTTACATACCTTTCTTTTGGGGCTTTCCCCCCAGAATAATTTTCTAAAATCATGGTCTAAGTTAATCAGACTTTCATTACAAAACAATATTCTAGAAAAATCCTGTGGAAAATAACAGTTAAGTCAGAAAGGAAAAAATATGTCCCCTCCACTCAGAAGCCAACCACGTGCACATGTGGATTCTCATTTCTGGCAATGTGCCAGATTCATGGAAAATTAGGGACTGATTAGCAGCACGGAGGAGCACTGGATTGAGCGGACAGTGTATAGAGTTAAGCCCAGGCTTCCCTTGAACTTGATGGACTCTAAGGGAAGTCAGGTCCAAGTGAGGATTTATGGGGACACTGCACAGGAGCGCCCTGTCCTGGCACAAACACCACAAACACTCCAGAGTTTTCCATGCCACCTCAGTGTGTGGAACAGGAATTTGCAGATTAGTTTCCCAGCAGGGCTGTGGACTGGCATGAAGTCGTCTCACAGGGACACAGACAGAGCTCAAGGCTCCCGCTCCAATGCCACCCTCCAGTGCCTAGGACCGAAGCCGCAACCACGTGATCAAGAAGCCTACTGCAGGAAGGACATAGCCCAGTCAAAACCACCGCAGGTTCTGAATGCAACAATCCCTCCACCCAGCACTGCAGATCCCCAGTCGCCTCACCATTTCCCGTGTGTGATGCGTCCAGGTGACCTCCCTATGGTTCTGCAGTCAGAAGATTTCACAAAGCTGCTGGAGCTGTGTAGCCTGAAAGCAGCAGCAGGCTTGTGGTAAATATGGCGATAATGAGGAAGGAAACAAGAATCGCCTACCACAGTCCCTCCTCATTGGACAGGTGGTACAGGCGATTAAACAGCCGCTCTGATTGGCTCATGGATAAAGGGTCCAACCCCCAAGCCCTTGACTGATGGGAACATGTAGTGGAGGGAGGAGATTCTAAATGGGTGACTTGAAAGGACAGACTCCAGCAGTCCTTGCCAATCAAGCTTCCTTTGTTGGAGATATGTTGTAGCTTGTGGGATAACTACTTTCAGGAAAACTTGCCCTGGCCTTCTGGACCTGGCACTTGCATCTTTTCGTACTCACTGTGACATTCTTGCATACTCTTCCTGAAAATGGGACAACAGGATTACTCAAAGAATTCTAGATTCAAATATTCCTTGGAGAAAATTCATCATGTCTGTTAAGGAGGGGAGACCCAGGTTGGCTATGATACAGGAAGTCGATGTAGGGCTGATGGTCAAACTCTGAAAGCTGGAATGAAGCAGATGGCCAGGGATTCCTCACATCTCATGTTTCAACCTAATCATTTCACCCAAGAATATAAAAACACATTGCCAAAAAAAGCAATTTACTTATTTCACGTATGAATCCCCACATCCAAAAGAACCAGATAAAATAGACTGGAGATATGGTTCAAGCAGTTGAGCATCTGCTCTGTAAATGCTAAGCTATGAGTTCAAACTTCAGTCTCCAAAAATAAAACAAGGAAACAAACAAGATCAAGATGACCACAGGAGAAAACAGATTGTACCAGTCTCCATGTTTGTTATAACCAAATTCTTTCTTCTCCTGTTTTTTCCTCTATTTCAGAGTAAACAATCTTTTTTTCTTAAAATCACAGTCTAAGTTAATCAGCATTCCCGGCCACTCATAAGCCAAACACAGGATCATGTGGATCTCCATTTACAAAGAATCTGACAATGTACAGAATTTGTGGAAATTTAGGAACTTTTTGGCAGCATAAGAAGCACTGGATTTATGACATAGACCATAGAGTTTAGCCCATGCTTCCCTTAAACCTAAAGGTCTAGAAGGGAAGCCAGGTCACAGTAAGGAGTTACAGGAGGCACAGGAGGGCCTTGGCCCAGCACAAACTGCATAAGTACACGGTGATTTTCCCAGCCACCTCAGTTGGCAGATAGGGATTTGCAGGCAGGAACTCCCTGTAGGGCTGTGAGCTGGGATGAAGCCACTTCACAGAGACATAGGACTGGGTTAAAGGCCCCCAGTCTACAACCATCACTCTAAGTGGCAGAGAACCTAAGGACCAACAATGTGATCAGGATACAGTTTGTGGAACCCACAAGGCAGGGCCCAGTCAAAACCACTGCTTCTGGTTCTAACAATCACTCAATGCAGCATGGCAAATACCCAGCCACTCTCTCAGCATTTCCCTCTTCTGATGCTTCCAGGTGACCTCCTTATGGTCCTGCAGTCAGAAGATTTCACACAGCTGCTGGAGCTGGGAAACCTGACAATTCTCCAGCAGACACATGGCAAATATGGCAATAATATAGTAGGCAACCACAAACTCCTACCACTGTCTCCAAAAAAGGTAAGATTACAGGTGGGAGTCACCAGTCCCTGTCTCAAGTTCCCATTTAATTTTGCTTTCCATGTATTCCACTTAGTTTTTACTATTAGTATATCAAATATATTTTTTACTATTTTTTACATGTAATGTTCTTTCACTTTTCAATATATATTTGCATTTTATGTTAAAGAAGTTTGGTGTGTGTGTGTGTGTGTGTGTGTGTATTACTTTGGGATTAGCACAAGACTTTGTAATTGGTAGGAAAGCTCTGCAGTGGTGAGCTCCACCCTTATGTGTTTTTATTTTGAGACAGAATATCAGTAAAGAACCTTCACTGGCATCCAATTGATAATTTTTGTGCAACATCCTCCCCAGTGGTTGGGATTTAAACTGTGCAACAACACAACTGAGTCTTTTATCCACACTTTTGTGATTCTGACATTTGAACTTTTGCCTCAGCAGGCACATCAAAGGTCTGCAGTACACATTTAAATATGATAGCAAATGTGAAAAAATGATTTTGCAAACTAGAGGCATGGATCAATTGTTAAAACATGTGCTTAGCAAGTTAGACTCTCTAACTTTAAACCCTAGTATGCCCAAGGGAAAGATGGGATTTAGTGTATCTTCACTTGATTCTTGTCAGTACTCTTTCTTCCTGGGATCTTTATTTCTAATCACCTTTCCTTCTCCCCAAAAACTCATTGCAATTTCTACAATACTACTGCACATGTGTTATAGACTGTAAATAATATTCAATTTTCATTCTGCTTTCAGAATGAATAATGTCAATTGCTTTAGGAAGAGGTGTATAACCAAAGAGAGCTGAGAAAAGAGAGTATTCTCAAAATCCAAATCATCTCTTAAATGTGAGGAGGTGTGTCTTAAGAAGTAGTGTTCCTGCTTTAAAAGTTCAAAGTCCTGAGTTCAAAACACAATTCCACCAAAAAAATGTGTAATACATCTTTTTTTGTATCATTAAGGAGATGGTAAAAACTATCAATTATAAGATGATTTTGTAAAGGATGGCACAAATGAAGTGCCTGAAGTCACAGTTTCAGATGCAATGCAAAAAAAGCCAGTTCGTTTTTGTAAACTTTGATGATCATGACATGAGGATAAAATAGTAATTCAGAAATATCATAGTGTGTGCTGGAATGTGGTGGCAGATGCCTGTCAACTAATCTACATGGGAGACAAATATTGATAGGATCATGGTTTGAGACTAACTTGGGGAAAAAGTTAATGGAACATTGTCTCAGACAATAACTCTGTATGGTGGTATTTGCAAATAATTCCACCTACAAGGGAGGTATCTGTGGAAGGATTATAGGTATGAGGCAGCCATAGTCAAAATGGGAGGCCCTACATGAAAAATAATAAAATAGCACTAAATAACTTGGGAGCCTGGCTTTGGCTCCAAATGCCCATGTCCATGGTTAGAAATGTGTGACAGAACCTATCCTGAGAGAGAAAAACAGGGAAGGATCTTGTCCTTGAGACCTTGTCACAGACTTCAGTTACTGGTGGGCAGTTGGGTGGGTGCACTGGAGTGGACATGTGGGGAGGAGAAGAGGATGGCTTAGATGAAACTCAGAGTTATCCTGGCTTGACACAATGCTTGAGGTTAGTCTGAAAGCAAGGGGTGCAATCAGCTATGTTTCTGAGCAGTCTGTTAATAAAGTTCCATCCTTGAGCAAGGACATAACAGAAAGAAAAACAAAGAAACATGGATTCTATGGTCTATATCATCGACTCTGATACAATTGCATTTTGAAATTGGAAAGGCAACAAAACAAGAACAAGAAAGAAACCACACCTTACCGGGTCCACTATCAGAGCTGTTGAACACAAAAAAAATATAACCGAAACATAAATCCTGTTTAATACTAGACAAAATTAAATAATTTTTGCCATTCCAACATCTCAGAAACAACACAGTAAATAAGCACATTTCCAGGAAAGATCCAGTGATAAATTTATATACCATCAAATTTAACTAACTAAATTTTATTTCATCCAATTACCCATAAAAGAATTTTTCCCAATTCTAAATAAAACTTATGAAACTTGCATGCTAAGGCATCATTTCATCATTAAAATCTTACAGGAAAAGAGCACAAAAAATTCCTAACTGCTTAATTGAACTGCAATTTCAAAGAAAAAAGACTCTGAAAAAGAAACAAAAGGGAAGCTGCTCAAGAATGCAGCCTGTTGAGCCTACACTACATGAGGAGAAGGTTGTACACATTTTTAAACTTAGAGACCACTGTCTCTGTGCAGATACAGCCCCTGTGGCTCAATTCAAGGAAGGGAGTGAGAGGAACCTACAAAAGGAGGAAATTTCACTCATGAACCTCCACTCACACAATTTTCCCCATTTACATGATGAAATCACTCACTATGACAACAACTCATTTGGAAAGGCATAAAACTCTCATCCAGAGCCAATTCAATATTCAGAGCTGTGCTGTCCTTTCCTGGCATTGCTAAACCCAAATGAATTCCCCAACATGAATGGGATTCCCATGTTTTAATTCTGAGTACGGTCTGGAATGCAGAACACTAGACATTCGATAAGTTTAGCACTGAGTCCCAAGACACTGGCATCACTGTAGGTTCCAGTCCCACATGTGTCTGCTCTGTACAGTCATCTATCCCCATTTTTTTGGGTACTGGGGTTTGAATCCAGCACCTCACACTTGCTAGGTAGGTGCTGTATAATGGGAGCCACTCCAAAA